GGCTCTGCAGCTGCCTGTCCACCGCCCCTAACCCTGGGCAGGGGGACTCACCGCACCAGGAAGGAGTTCCAGTTCTCGTGGACATAGATGGTGTCCACGCCCACGAACAGGGAGCCCTCCTCGTCCACTGTCAGGTCGTTCTTCCCCAGGGCCACGCGGTAGGTCAGGGTGTTGCTGGGCAGGGAGGGGAACCAGGTCAAGGTGGCCAGTGGTCCCTGCCCGCCAGGGTTAGACGAGGGGACTTGGGGGTCTGGAGGCTGAGTTTCGAGGCCCCTGTGGGACTCACTGGGGAGGGGCATCTGTCCCATTTAGTGCCTTTCCTTGACCTTGGGTGATTATTGTGTAATTTGGGCAGGAGTGGGGGCTGGTCGGGAAGCATGGAGTTTTCCAAATATCCTGAGACACAGCAAAGGCTGAGGTGCGGGTATTTTTTTCAGGAGGGTCGGCGTGTGCCTCCTGCTGTGCTTGAAGGTGTTTTTTTTTTGTAGTTGGACACATACCTTTATTTTATTTATTTATTTTATGTGGTCCTGAGGATCAAACTCACGGCCTTGCCCGTGCTAGGCGAGCGCTGTACCTCTGAGCCACAACCCCAGCCCTGAAGTGTGTTTTTGAACTCTCTCTGTCTGCCTCATTCTTTTTAGTTATAGTTTATTGTTCACCTCCTGTGCCAGGTTGGGCTTCCCGCTTCTTGCAGTATCTCCCTGAGTTCTTCCAACAACCTGAGGACGGTCCTAGTATCTGCTCCTTGAAGATGAGGAAACTGAGACTTGGAGGGTGAGGGACTGTGTGGGGTGCACAGCTGGGCAGCAGACAGCTGGGCTCTGCCGTCCGGCTCCACCTGGGGCTCGCAGCTGCTGACTGTCACAGGTTCCTCCTGCGTCTCTGCAGCACTGCTGCCCTAGGATTCTTGTCTCCCTCCCCCCTGGGCCCCCCCCACTGGGCTTGGCTGCTCCTGCCCCTGCCCCTGCCCCTGCCCCAGGGCTGGGGTGGCCTTATTCAGGCTCCCGGAAGGTGCTGGTTGGCCAGATTCCTACCTGGAGCCACTTAGATGTAGGCTCTTCGCCTTTCTATCTCTGAAATGGGCAGATTGGACCCAATGGACCGGGTTTCCTTTTAGTCCCGAGGTTTCCTGACATCAAGGTGAGGGTCAGTGGCTGATGTAAACTTGTGGCACTCGGCAGGGTTGCCAAGAGTCTGTGCTCAGAATTCTGTGCTTTCCCTCTGTCATCTTTAGCACCGGCTGAAAATGGTACCTGCCTTCTAGGGCTGTTTCTAGGAGTGGCGTGTGGTAGGTACTGAGTGCTTGCTGTTATTGTGATTATTGTCATCGGGTCCTTATCTGGTCATCTGGTTTGTCATCTGGTCCCATCTCAGAATGTGGAGTCAGTCCTGTCAAAGAGCCTCTTTCTCTGTCAAAATACGTTGCGGTGGCGCACGCCTGTAATCCCAGTGGCTCGGGAGGCTGAGGCAGGAGGATCTCAAGTTCTCAAATTCAGCCCTCAGACCCTGTCTCTAAATAAAACACAAAATCGGGCTGGGAATGTGGCTCAGTGGTTGAGTGCCCCTAAGTTCAATCCCTGGTACCAAAACAACAACAACAACAACAACAACAACAACAACAACAACAAACCCCCAAAACATTGCAAATTGCTTTATGATGCATGAGTATAAAAGTGAGTGTAATTTATCTTGGACTAAATTCATTTTTTCCTTACTGATTTTAAAGAAATGGGAACACTTTTGTGGCACCTAAAAGTACCAGGGCTCCAGGCCCCATACTCCCCGTACTTGCAGGGTAAACTGCCCCGGCACCTGCTCATGGAGGGTGTGTCTGAGCAGCTGAGATTTGGGGGCGTGTTCTGTCTGTGGACCCTTCTGCCACCTGCTCTGGTCCTGGGGATGCCTTCACCATGCCCCGAGGCAGCCAGGAGGAAGCCATTCTTGCCTGGAGCAATTGGGCAGAGGTTGGGACTGGGCAGGTGCCTGGCTGGTGCTGCCCACAGGACACAACTATCTCAGTGCTCACACTGTGACACCAGGTTGGCTGAGCTGATTTTTCCGGTCATGATAAGAAAAACTGAACAAGCAGTTCCATGGGGCTGGAGGCACCTTCAGAGGGAGCCCTGTGGGTGGGTGTCCTGGGATTGGAGGGTGGGGCTTGGAGGGGATCAGCTGGCATATGTTAAGAGGTGACTATTTTCTTTGCCCAGCTGTGAGGGGCTGACATGCTATACATGCAGAAACCATTAATTAATCCACCCATTCTTCCCATATTTCCTAAGTGCAGACCCTGGGCTGGGACAGAGAAGACCCTGCATAGCTGGGGGAGCTCCCTGGCAGCCAGGGTGAAGTGTTCCTTGGAGAGATGGGCCATGGCGGGAGGGCTATATGGGAAGAGACTGGTTCTGGGTGGGAGCTGAGTGGGGTACAGGTTAGGAGAAGGCTCCTCCTCTACAGATTCCAAGTCCAAAAGGAATTTGAGGACTGGAGGGAGTGAGGATGCTGGGATCCCTCCCCCACCCTGTTGGACCCTGGGATTTCCAGGGCCTGGCGTGCCCAGCTGCCAGAGTCAGTCTGTGCTGGAAAAATAACCATGGGTGACGTGGAGGGGACAGGCTGAGGGGGTGGTGGACAGGCCCAGATGATGTCCTGGAGCCTCAGGGGAAGCAGTGCCAGGTTGGGGGAGGGTGGGGGGAGAGATGGACAGGTGCTGGGCTGGGTGTCTCGGGCACAGCTGTTGCCTCTCAGATGAGGCCCACAGAGGCGAAGGCTGAGGGGCCGGCAGGGCCTCCCCTCAAAGCCAGGTGAAGTACTGGGGTTCAGAGAGGGTCTGGGGCCTCCTAAGGGGTTAGAGTTCACTGAGGGAGTTACCGTTTCAGTGGGGTCTGGGGGTTTCTCTGGGCTCGGTGCCTGGTGATAGGGTTGGGGTTTAGGAGAACTCAGAGGCTGGGCCTGGTGGGCAGCTGGGCCCATGAGGGGCTGAGCTGGAGATGGGGCTGGGACTCAGTAGCAGGGGGCTTAATGAGAGTTCAGAGGCGGCTCCTCTGCCAGAGCAGGCGGGGTGGGGGTGGGGGGTCTTGTGCAGCCTTTTGTGGAGGGCTCTGGCAGGCACAGCTGACTGCCGTCTCAGATTCCGAGGGCTGGAGGCCAGTATGTGTCACCGAGCAGCTGGGCTGCAGCTCTGCGAGATGAGTTTAAGGGCTGCCTCTTCAGACCCTCCACTCCACATTCCCGAGATCCTTTCTAGAGGATGCTAGGCGTTCTGATGTGCTTCCCTCGGGCAGGAAGGATTGAAAGGTGACGCCTGCTCTAAAATCTTTCATGGAGGACGGTGGCATCTTCAAGCATTGGGTGGGGTATCTCAGGCATTGGGTGGGGATGGTGAACCCCGGAAATGCACCTCCTGGGCGCTGCCTTCAATCAAAGAAGCAACATGCAACCCGGCTGCTGCAGTACCACTCATGGCCACCCGGGGGCAGCGGTGCCCCGCCTAAACCCAAGCTTCTGCCCTCCTGGCCCCAGGTTGTGCTGAAAGGGAGCAGCCCTCTGGAACCCCAGGGACGAAAAGATCCCAAGAACCTAGTCTACCCTTTCATTGGACAGACGGGGAGACAGGGACCCCGCGGGCACCCGATCTGTCAGATCCCCCCTGCTGCCACCCCTTATTCCCGGGTGTTGTCCAGTGAACCCAAGACTTTTGAGCCGTCTGTGTGGCTGGGGCACATCAACCCAGAATCCCGGTAGCCTTAGTGCCACTCCTGGCCACGGAGCGGTGAAGACAGAGGCGGTGACCTTGCAGCTTGTCTGGGTCCTGCTGGCCTCCCTGTCCTCATCCGCACAGAAGGGATAGAAACGCACCTCCCGGCGGGTTTGAGAATTAGATGAATCAGTTCAGACGGTGCTGAGCGTGCCCGGGGGTGTCATGCTGTCCTTGAAGACCAGTGAGGGTCCTCTCTTCCCCAGACCTCCGACATGACCCCTTTATCCCAGGTCACTTCACTCCTGTCCCCTCCCTCCCCAGCCCCCCACGAACCATCAAGAACCACACTCACACCTAAGAATATAGAATTTTATCTTATTTTAGTTAAAAAAAATAATCGTACCACCAAATGAAGAAGTAGCCTTTTTTTGGGGGGGGGGCGGGGGAGGGAGTGTTGAGAAGGGAGAAAAATAAAAAGCGAAAAGCCCAAAGGAAAAGAAATTATATTCATCTGTATAAACATATCCGCTAAGGCAAACGCAACCCAGGGCCTGGCGCTGCTCGGGCCCGGAACCTCCTAATCTCTGCAGATTCTAAGGCCAAAAAAATAAAACCTCTGCAAGTCTGGCCGGAGCTCCGCCGACTCCTGCGACATGGTACTAAAATAAAGAGTTACCGAGTTTAAAAAGCAGTGACGCTGGCACGACACACTGAAAGTTGCATAACTGTGGCCTCGATGGCCCCTCACTTGTTTGGACTGGGTGACGGTCACAGTTTCACGACACAGCAACGGACACACACGGACACACACGTGAGCAAGCGCACTGGGGGCCGCGGCCGGACGGGCCGGGCGCGGCTGGTGGCGGGCACAGGGTCCCCATGCTTCCTAGGCGGGGCGTGCCAGGCAGGGCTGGTGTCAAGGCGGGATAGCGTGCCAGGGGCGGTCCCGCTCCCACTGCAGGTGCTGCACACACACGAAGCACTTCTGTCGCCTCCTGGGGAATGAGCCGAGGGCTGGTTCTTTCTCCCGACCCTTCTCTCTGCACCGTCCCCTGGGCCCTCAGGGTGTTCTGGGGCAGGATGCGGGGAGCACCTGTTTCTGTCCCCAAAGGCCCTCCCGCTGTGACCCCATGGCATGCCCGGCAGAGTGTGGGACCGTGAGGTAGATTGGCACACAGCGGCCCCCTCACCCTGCCCGGAGGGGTCCCATCTCCATGTCTGCACGGGGCCCAGGGCCTGGGTCCCTTCACTAAAATAGAAGTCCTCCCATTCCAGCAGAGGGGGGTGGGGCCAGAGGAGAAGTCCTGGGGGAGGGTCCTCTCATAGGCCCTGGTCTGCTCAAGGGCCCCTCCTGCTCCAGTCTAGGGAGGGGCTGTCCTGGCCAGGGGGCAGGTGGCAGGGAGAGGGGTGAGTGTGAGGAGAGCAGGCACAGGGGCAGGGAGGGACCTAGAACCAGGAGCTGGGCCCGGAGCAGCTGGGCAGGCAGCAGGGCAGCTGGGGTGAGAGCCGCAGAGGGCTGGGCCAGGCAGGGGCAGGGGCAGCTGTGGCGTGGCAGCCTCAGGGACAGTGGGAGGGAGCAGGCAGTGGCCAGGGCACTCAGGAGACCCCTCAACTAGCTCGTTCACAATTTAGATCTTTAGGAGTGGTCCCACGGGACAGAGCCCAGGCCTGGCTGTCCCTCCCCTGCCCGCCGCCTGCCTTCTGGCTGCCGGGGCAGGGAGGGTGGTGGCCGTGTCCTGCTACTTGAAGGTGGACTGCAGCTCCTTGAAGGCCGCTTTCCGCTGCTTCATCTCCTCGGCCTGTTTCTTCCTCTCCTCCTGCTCCGCCTTGATCTCCTCCTCAAAGCGGCTGGACACGTTGATGGCCTGCACCTGGGGCGGGGGGCGGCGTGAGGGCTTGGGGGGCTTCCCCACTGCCACCACGGGCTGCCTGCTAGGGTCCCTCCGGGCTCATGCTTCTGCTGCACCAGCTCTGGCCCGTGGTCTGCGTGCACCTCTCTGAGCTGCCGTCTCCACCTAGAACTGGCTCAACAAAGCGCACCTCCCGGCTCCCGGGGCTGGACGCCTGCTCAGTGGCTGAGGCACACTCAGGGTCCTCTGGTGGGCGTTGCTGAGGTCATCCTTGATTTCCTGTCCGGGAGACCCCCGGCACCCCAGTTCCACGGGTGAACCCCCCTATGTTCCATCAAGGCTTGGGAGTCCAGGGGGAGGGGGAGGAGACCTTTGAAAGGAAGAGTCTCAGCCTCACCCGGGAAGAGGAAGAAATAAGGGACAGGTGCCTGGTGGCCCAGGGGGCATATGTCCAGGCTCGGGAGCCAGAGACCAGATGTGTCTCCTGCAGCTGGGCATGGGCTGAAAGGGGAGTGGCTGTGCACGCTGGTGGCCTTGGGGGCCCCTCCTGGTTCCTCCAGGCTGGCATCTCTGTTTCCGTCCTACTCTGCTGTCCCCCGGCCCTTCCCCTTTAAGGGCTTCCCCACGTCTCCTCTGCGGCCTCAGCAGGGACAGGAGGGGCAGTACTGACCCCCGGCTCAGCCGGGCCCAGGCCACACCCGCCCGGCCTCAGCAGCCTCAGCCTCCTCACCTTGGCCTCGAAGAAGCTCTTGGCCCCCTTGACGCCCTCGGTGGAGACGTCGATCTCGGAGAGGCGGGCCAGCACGTGCAGCCCGCTCTCCTGCAGCTCCCCGGCCGCTGCCTTGCGGAAGATCAGGAGGAACTGCAGCGGGACAGGCACCCAGGGTCAGGTGGGCACCGGAGGGGACAAGGTCTCTGACCATACCCGGGCCCCAGCCTCAGGCACCCGCTGTGCGCCTGGCTCATAGGCCTGGGAGCCAGAGAGCTGGGTTCGCATCTCCCGTGTCCCCTGCCCTTCCCTCTGCGGGCCTCTGCCACCCAGGTGCAGGATGGGAGGGTAGGCGACTCGGCCTGCGCTCCGGGTCGGGGTTACCGTGGCCCTGCCCTGTCCACATCTGGCTCCTGCAACCCAGCCGTCATCTGGGTCCCCACCCTTCCCCCAGCAGATAGTTCTCTACTCAGCTGTAAGGGCACAGAAGGCTCAGAGACGGTAAAGACTTGCTTGGTGTCCCAGGGCCAGGAAGTGCCACGAGGATTTGAGCCTGTGTCCTCTGGGCTGCCCACTCCCCACCCCCTGGGGCCGCTCATCCTCACCCAGGCCCTTGCTACCTGTCTCTCCCCTGCCTCCTGTAACCTTCCAAGTCCAGAGTTTTCAACTCGGCGAGCACAGTAAATCAGTGCAAAGTCACCACGATGGCCTGTTGCGTGGCGTCAGTTATTTTTGGACAAGGGCACAACACTGGTTAGGCTTCCTGCCAGCTCCCGAGGGCCCAGGGCTCCTGCAGAGGCCACCCGCCCCGCATCTAACCCTGTGCTGCCTGGGTCCAGCGCCATTCCTAGGTGCCTCTGAGCCTCTGTTTCCTCCGCCATCAACCAGGCTTGTCCTTGTCTCAGGGTGAGGGAGGCGGCCCTCAATGTCTAGCGCAACAGCGCGGAGCTAGTGTCCTCTTGGCATCTCCTCCTCCATACTGCAGGAGGCCCGGAGGACAGGGACTTTCTCTCTACCCTGGGGCCTGGTCAGGTTTGGGGATACAGAAGTCACTCAACCTATGTCCCGTACACGAAGGGCTGGACGTCTGTCCTCGTCGCCTCACGTGGTCAAGTGTCAATCAACAAGGGGGTGGGGGAGGGTCAGCGTCGCCCTGGCCACCAAGCCCTGGGGACAGCCTTGGCGGAGGTGGGCTGGGCAGGGCTCACCTCCCGGAAGCTGAGCTTGCTGTCCAGGTCCTCGTCCACCTCCTTGATCATGTTCTTCAGGCCCAGGTGGGTCTGGGGGGCCCCGAGTTTCTCCATCATGAGCTTCAGTTCCATCAGGTCGATGAAGCCGTCGCGCCCGGCGTCGTACCTGTGGGCACAGAGCGGGGCCTGAGGACATCTCGGCGCACGCACCTCAGACGTCACTGGTGAGACGCGGCACGTCTGAGAGGAGGGGTCCCGGGGGCCCAGAGGACACCTAGCACCATCATGTCATCCTGTCACGGCTGGAAGGGACCTCAGCCCAGACGGGTCCTGATGTGTGGCTCAGCCTGGTGACCACATGGCCTTGGGCAACTCGCCACCCCAGCCTCCTGCCTGTTGAACAATGCTTTTTTTTTTGAACCAGGGATTGAACCCAGGGGCACTTAGCCACTGACCACTTCCCCAGCCCTTTTTAAATTTTTGAGACAGGCCTCGCCATTGCGGAGGGTTTTGAACTTGTGGCTTCAGCCTCTTGAGCCTCTGATGACAGCAGGCGCCACCACGCTGGTGACAGCGTGTTTGTCAAGCCTGGTTGTGAGGAAGCTGCGACCACAGTCCCTGTGCTGAGCGTGACGTGAACGAGTGAGAAAGACCTCACACACCACAGGGTGGGGCCAAGCTGAGACGAGCCCCGGCCATGGCCAGCACCTGCTGGCCTCAGGACACCCCTCTCCCCTTGGTCCACTTCCGGTGGAGGAGCCTTGTGGGGGAGGGCAGGGAGTCTCCCCCCCAGACTGCCAGCGTGTGGGAAGGACATTTCCTTGCCCAGGGGGCTGTTCTGGGCACCGTGGGATGTTGACTTCCCACCAAACATGTCCCCTAGACACTGCCAAGTGTCCCTGGGGGGCAAAACCGTTTCCAGTTGGGAAGTACAGGTAGAGGAAGTGGCATGTGAATGGGGTCTCTCCCCCTTTCTTTTGCTGGGGATCAAGCCAGGGCCTGGCACCTTCTAGGTCCCCCCGAGCCACACCCCAGCCCTCCATCCCTCTCTCCATGGAATGAGTGGCTTTTCCCACACAGTGCTTTCTGTACTGGGCATTCTACTTCCTGCTCCCCAGCCTGCCACCTGCTACGAGTAATGCAAGAACCAACAAGGAGTGTCGGAGGGTCTCTGCCCTCGTCTAGGGCAGCGTCTAGGATGGGGCAGGACCGCAGGTCACAGGAGGACCAACTTCTCGGGCAGAGGGCAGGCCTGTGGTGTGTTCAGGGAAGAGCTGGCCACGAGCCTGCAGGGGTGGCGGCGCTGGTGACAGCCAGGCCTCTGCCCACGCCTCTTTCTACCACCAACCGCCAGGCAGTGCCAGGGACAGGCCGCAGGCTGGGTCTAAATGTCCATCTCGACCAGTCTCCTTGTGGTACGAGTGGCAGCCAGAGTGGCCCCCAGGCCTGTCCCCAGCTGGGGAGGTGCTGCCGGTGCCTGCAGCACACAGCCCAGGGGATGCGGGCTTAATGCAAGGTCCAGCCAGGCCCTGCCTGTGTCCTGGGACAGCTGGGGAGAGTGGTCTCTCCATATCGTCCCCAAGGCCTGCGGTTGGCTGGCTGAGAACAGTGTGGGTCACAGCCGTGTGACACAGAGGGTCCGAGGACCTGGAGGTCCTGCATGAACTTATTTCACTCTGGGGCTGCTCTGGGCTCCCACCTCCCTTTGTCTTTCTCTTGTTAACTTGGCATGACTTTAGATATCTAATAGCGGCCACTAACTGGAATCTGCCTTGGCACCAGAACTTAACCTATTCATTTTACTTAATTCTGGCTAGCATCTCATTTTATAATGGAGTTCCAGAGAGGTTAAGTAACCCACCCAAGGCCACACAGTAGTGAAGGTGGAGCTGGACTGTCAGGCTCAAACCTGCACATTTGTGCCCGGCCGCTCCCACGTGTCCCAGGGCTGCCTGCGGAGCACAGCCGGTCTGCCTGGAGTGCGGAGGGGAGCATTTGTGCGAGGGGTATAAATAGTTCACAAGTGAGTCAGTGGTTGGAAGCCATGCAGTACAGGAAAGATGGAACCCTGGAAGGAATGCAGCGTCCTGAGGCCTTGTTCCCCCCGGGGAGTCGGGCCAGAGAGCCCGTGGGCTGCGGCTTGGGCGGAAGCAGGTGCGGTTTGGTGGTGAGGGGTCAGGCAGCTCCCATGGCCCAACGGCCATCTCAAGCAGGAGAGGCCTTGCGGGGTGACTGGGGCCCCTGCTTCCGGCTCTCCAGCCGCCTGCGGGTGCAGAGCGCCACGGCTGCTTCAGGACCCCCGAGGCAGCCCTCGCAGAGGGGCCTGGTGTGGCACCTGGTCTCTCCTGAGGCAAGTCACTCGGACCCCTCCCCAGTGGCCCCCAGGATCACAAGCCCTGCTTTCTGACCTTGGGCTCCAAATGGAGGTTGGGGACACGTGTCCAGGCTCTGCAGCCAGATGGCCTGGGCTCAATATTTGCATACTACAGTTCTTCAGGGGTGTGTGTCCCCCAGGGGACATGTGACGATATCCGGAGATGTTTCTGGTTGTCTCGACTGGGGAGGGGGGTGCTACTGGCATCTGGTGGGCCAAGGCCAGGATGGAACACCTCACAGTGCCCGGGACATAGATGGTCTGGCCTCCTGTCAGCAGTGTCGAAGTGAGGACCCCTGACAGATCGGTGGCTCTCAGGGGGCCACCGAGGACTGACTGCACCCACAGAGGCCAGGCTCCCACCCTCCCCACTGTGCGTCAGTCACCTCCCCTTTAGCCTCTGTGCCCAGCTCCCCTGGAGGTCAGGATTAGGCAG